GGCATGGCAACTCACTCCGGTATTCTTGCCTGGAGGATCCCATGGACAGAGGAGCCTGGCAGGTTATGGCCCAAAGGGTCTCAAAGAGTCAGACACGACTGAAGCGACTTAGCACGCATGCACGTGTAGTCACAGAACATAGATATTTATTAAGCTGTTTTTTTTTAATAACAGAAACTCGAGCTAGAAACTTGTGGAAGGCCATGACTCATAAAAAAGTACACTTTGCTGCAAGTCATCCCGTCTTTGTTCTGTGCACTTGTGTTCCAAACAGCTGATTTCTTGTGCTCCCATAGGGCAGCTGTCTCTGAAATCTGGGTGAAGCAGGATGAAGTCTTGGTGTCACAGCCCAGGAGACCCCTGGCACCCTGGCATACTCCCTCCAGACAGTGACAACTCGACAAGACAACCATCTGCTCCCGCAGCTCCTGGTGGGTCCACAGGACAGTGCCCATTGCAGGGACCCCAGCCCACTAGAGGATGCTTCTCGCTGCTTGTGTATCGGTGGGGATGGGGGGCGGGAGGGGAGAGGTTCCCTCCGTCATGGCACCAGGGCCCTTCAGATTCACCAAGAGCGTCAGTCTGAGCTGCATCTTCACGCTTGTCTGTTTGTGACTCTTCAGCGGCTGAGAACAAGCCCACACACAATCTTTCAAGGTCAGGTATTGATTTTCAGTCTAAACAGTAAATCCATAGTGAAGAAGAAACGGCGCCTTATTAATCAGGCCTCCCCCACCTCTTCCCACGTCTCCTGAAATAATAAAGTCATCATGGCATGCTTGCTTTCTGCTTCCTGTATGGTCTAGTAAGGCCCGGCTGAATTCTCTAATGACCCCGAGTTCCTCGCCTGGAGGGGCTGGAGCAGTGGGTCTGAGGCAGAGGGTACAGAATTCAACCTGTAACACGTCATGGACATGGCTTATTTTCTTAAATAAAAAAAAATATATAATTTTACAGCTAGATTTTCTTTTCACTTGCCATAAGTTCAACATGTCACTTAACATACAGAAGACTTTGGCCACAAGAGCTTGTGCACACCTATTTGCACGCACATACACACTCACATTCTTACATACTCACACTCCAGTGCAATGCACACACATGTATGTTCACAAACATGCCTACCCACTACCTTGAATGTCTCATTCCAGACACATGAACCTGTTCCTAGGCTGCTGGGTGAATGCTGAACTCAACACCCAAACTGCCTTCTCCTGATCCACTCCCAGGTGTGACCGGATGACATGGCCAACTGTTTCTACTGGCCCCGTATGCAGTCTGTGCTAGGTCACTTCAGTCGTGTCCGACTCTTTACGACCCCGTGAGTTGTAGCCCTCCAGGCTCTTCTCCCCATGGGATTCTCCAGGCCAGAACACTGGAGTGGGTAGCCTTTCCCTTCTCCAGAGGATCTTCCCAACCCAGGGATCGAACGCAGTTCTCCTGCATTGCAGGCAGACTCTTTACCTCTGAGCCACCAGGGAAGCCCCACCACTTTCCCCCTAGCCAAGGTTTTCTTTGAAACAGAAGCAGCCCCATTCCCCCAGCAATGCCTCTATGTCCCCTGTTGTTAACAGGCGGTGGAGCAACTGCCTACTGTAAATCAAGCGCAGAAGGAAGCTCATGGTTCAGAATTGCCGCAGGGAGCATAAAGGGGCCTGTGTTCATGTAATCTGGTGCTTTATATCTGAGTGCAGTGCTGCTGATGGAAACCTGTTTGGGGGTTTCCACTCTAAAGACCAACGGGACTTCTGCTTTCGAGATAAAGGAGAAGCTAGCTGCCTTCAAACTTTCCTTCTGCTGCCTCTGGGGACCCTGTGATTTGCATTTTAGATGTAAATTCATGTAAATCAGCACTTATTTTTCAGATGAAATTTGACCATTGAGGGCAATCTGGAGTTGTTTTCTGATGCCAGTGTGCATTTGATTCCCGTGTAATTTCTCAGCACATGGATTAAACCTGCAATAAGTGTTGTGCAACTGTGATTGGGCATGCAAGACAAACGACCCTTATTTTGCAGCAAGGAAGGGAAAATCTAATTATAATGCCTTTTCCAGCCTGTGAGACAAAGCGAGGCTGTATGCCAGCTAATTAATTGGCTGGATTGGGGGCCATCCAGGACCCCTTATTCCTTATTGGGTCACTTAAGCTCTTTTAGCCTTCAGTGCAAAGACTGCATCTCACCCAAGGCCAGTTTATTGCCAGTCTATGACTTCAGTTTCAGCAAAACAAAAGAATGCACAAAAAATCAACCCAAATTAACCATCCCCTCATGAGCAGACCTTCCTATTAATACCTGGCTGTGTTCTTGTCAACGATGGGTGTACTATTCTGCTGATCGCATCTGAATAAGTTGGAAAGCCCTGAGCAGAAGACTTCATAAAGGCTCAAGGCTTTGGAAAAATAGATGTCAGCAGAACTGAGTAAGTTGCAGCTTTTCTTGGGTGTTAAGGAAACGAAGAAAAGGTGGGGAAGGTGCTTATGTAGACTGTAGAGTGTGGGCTATCTAAAGACACAAACTCTGTGTCATTTCAGAGATTAGAGAAATTTCAGGAAAAACGTCACAGAGCCTGAAGTAGAACAGTACATGACTGGAGAAAACATTGGTCTGTGAGGCAGGATATCAATGTATGCTGAGTGCGAAGAGGTTCCTTGTGTGTTTTATAAGGAATGCATGATGGAAGGTGACGGAAGGCATTCTGAACAAGATGCAGGATGCTTGGAGAGAGGCCTCAGTTCATCATGGAGGGAGTCAGCTAGGAAGCATCTCAGGTGTTCCTGCTGGGGCGAGTGGATCTGAGAGTTGATGACACATGCTCTCTTCATATTAACAGGAGAAATCATGCAAATGATTGCCTAAAGAATCCAGACTTTTTTTTTCAACCCTTATAACTCTCGTAAATCTATTAAAAACTACCTTTGAAATATGAGAGGCTAGTTCTTGCTGTCATTTCACTTTCCTTCTCTTTTTTAGGAGATCTGGGGGGAGGGTTTGAAGCTGAGAGTGTCCTGCCACCTCCAACTATTGTTCCATCTCCAGGTCTCCGTGTGGCAGCCGGCAGGCTCCCCTGGGTGTGCCAACAGCTGCTGTTGCCTCTGCAGGGATCCCACCAGCATCTTTCACTCAGGCCAAGAGTCAGATGGGCAGGAGGGGGCCGGTGGAGATTAATTAGCAGGAGGAGCCAGCTCGTTAGTGGCGAGGGGGTGTCTGCTGGGAAGCTAACAGGGAAGCGACAAGGGGAATTAGTGACAAATCGGTATTAAAACACAGATAGAAAGGCCTCTGCTAAATCATTACGCTCATTCCCATAATGAGAGACCAATAAATAGAGGCGTCCCACCAGAGTCTGCAAATTGCGAGCAGGGGTGTTGGGGAGGGGTCCTGCAGAGAGCGGTGACAGTGCTTCAGGGCTTGCAAAACTGTGAATCGGAGAAGAGGGAAAAGGATGCTTTAGTCAAGTGATGTAATAACCGTTTTCAAGAATCAAAGGGGCTGTTTTGCTGAGGAGGGTGACCAGCTGTCCCCTGTCTCCAGTGAGGCTGGAACAAAGGGCCTTGTGCCGACAGGGAAGGGCGGGGTGGGCGGCCGGGTGGGGAGTGGGGGGTGGCACGTCGCGTGTGCGGGCACGGGGACTGCCGGGCGCGGGCGGGGCGAATACCCAGGAGCAGAATGAGGGAGCCTGGAGACCTCTCAGAGCGGACGCTGCAGATTATCATGCCGGGAGGTTTTAGGACTAAGGCCCCGCCCCACGAAGGCGCCCCGCGGAACGGGCTGTGCTGAGCAGGAGGGCAGGGCGCCCCCTGCTGGTCGGGGCTGCACTGTTCTCAGCGTGCCAGGTCCCAGGGATGGCTGGCCCAGAGCCCCCAGGGCTGACCCAGGGGCTAAGAGGTGGGGGGTAGGCTGGCCCAGAGCCCCCAGGGCTGACCCAGGGGCTAAGAGGTGGGGGGTAGGCTGGCCCAGAGCCCCCAGCGCTGACCCAGGGACTAAGAGGTGGGGGGTAGGCTGGCCCAGAGCCCCCAGGGCTGACCCAGGGGCTAAGAGGTGGGGGGTAGGCTGGCCCAGAGCCCCCAGGGCTGACCCAGGGACTAAGAGGTGGGGGGTAGGGGGAGTCCAGACCTCCCCCTCCCTCCCATTCCAGATGAAGCCTCCCCAAGACCCTGAGATTCTCACCTGCATTTCTGCCTCCTTCCTGCCCCACTTCCAAGACCACAGCCAGTTCAACTCACGCACCTTGTTGCCACCAGCCAGACCCACCCCCGGCACACGCTTCCAATTAATTTGGTAATAATGTCAGCTGCTGCTGCTGCTGCTGCTAAGTCGCTTCAGTCGTGTCCGACTCTGCGACCCCATAGACGGCAGCCCATCAGGCTCCTTTGTCCCTGGGATTCTCCAGGCAAGAACACTGGAGTGGGTTGCCATTTCCTTCAATAATGCCAGCAGCCCAACAGCCCAACTAAAACCAAGCAAATGCTTTGATTCTACTCTAACAAATGCAGTCACAGACCCATTCTCAGAATCTCTTTTGAAGTAGCGAGCTTGGGGTTCTCTGATTCTAGAGGGGACGACTGCTGACTGTATTAGGAATAATCTCTCTCTAATCTTTTGAGAGCAGAGGCTGTAAATTCAGTTCGTGCAATGCCACAAAGTCGGCCTCAGAGACTGTTATTAGCGGAGAATCCCTCCCGGATTCTTGCTGGCTATCACTCTGTGATGGTACTTGTCTTGTATTAATATTTCTTGTCTCAGTGCAATATAATGGAAGATGAGACTCCACTTACTGAACCTCTGCTAAGATGGGCAGAGAGTAAACAGAGCCACTGCTCGCTTTTTGTGCCAAACCCTCATAGAAATCTGAGTTCATCTCTTCTCTGATTTCATAGGTATTCAGCACGAATACCCCAGAACCTGGCAATGAGTAATCTTCCCAGCAGTTACCAGGCATCGCTGTGCTTGCTTAACAGGAGCAATCAGTGGCTTAATCACTGAGCTTTGTGCAATCAGATGATACAAACGACACCCTACCTGGCCAAATGTTTCTTTCGCTGGAGATCATTTTGTTTGTTTCCATGGAAAAATTGCAGCTGTGGGCTGGGCCCAGATCTCCGGCGGTCCAGGGCTCCGGCCAGCGGGCAGGGATGAGCGGATCCCTGGGCCGGGCACGCAGCTGGTCAGAGCACCTGGACGCATTGACGAAGAAGGCCAAGGTGGTGGTCTTCCCCAAGGGGATGCCAGAGCAGCCCCAGTGCAGCTTCAGCAATGCATTGCTGCAGATCCTGTGACTGCTCAGCTTACATGTTAGACCACCCCCAGCTTCGGTGAGGCATTAAAGACTACTCCGACTGGCCCACCATCCTGCAGGTGTACCTCCATGGCGAGTTCATGGGGGGGTGTCTGACATTCTCCTGCAGATGCACCAGAACAGAGACCTGGTGGAAGAACTGAAAAAGCTGGGCATCTGCTCCACTCTCTTAGATGAAAGACCAGGACCCAAAGTGAGGGAAGGTGGCCCAGGTGAGGAGCCGCTGATGTCAGAGTCTCACCTCCAGAGAAGCCTTACTCATTCTGGATCCCACTCTTCAGATGACTGTTTGCACTGGTTCCTCCAGTTTACAAGCAGACGGCTGATTTTAGCCTGTCTGGTGTTTGGGCAAGGAATATCCCATCGTGAACATAATTGTAACCACTGCACTGTCATAATCAAGGTTGTATTACGGTTGTTGTCACCAAAATTCCTTCCTGTGTTGTTCTTTGCTCTTTGCCTGATTCAGGAGTAAACCTAGGAGCTTTGAATCCTTGTTATTATTCATAGGTCCTCCACATATATGTCAGCCAGAAAGATAATATAACCCCCTTCCCCAGTGTTTTTTTGTAGCTTGTTCTGTTAAGGAAAATGATGGACAAGGAAGAAAATAAGATAATCGTTTTTTTTTGTTTGTTTTTTAAAAAGATAAATGGCCAACCCCTTGGGAAAAAAAAAAAAGAAAATTTGCAAGGTCTAGGAGGGTGTGGCATCTGGGGAGCAGTGACCTGGGGATGCTATAACCAAGCTGACATCTCTTCTTGACATCAGCCCAAGAACTGAGATTAAAAGATCATGGCCCCACTTTAACCTCTGCATCTTAAATAGAATGTACACCTGCATCTTACAGGTTTGTCCAGGAAAAACACTTTGGCCAATTTTTTAAAAAATAGCATGTAAGTCACATGGATTTCCCAGAAGTGGTAAAGAATCTGTCTGTCAATGAAGGCATTGCAAGAGATGTGGGTTCGATCCCTGGATCAGGAAGATCCCCTGGAAGAGGAAATGGCAGTCCACTCCAGTATTCTTGCCTGGAGAACTCCATGGATGGAAGAGCTTGGCGGGCTACTGCCCATGGGGCTGCAAAGAGTCGGACACGACTGAGCGATTGAGCACATAGTGCGCCTGTCATGATATTCAACACGCTCTAGTGGGTTTAGTATGCTCACAATGGGTGCAAACACAACTTCCATTCAATTCCAGAACATTTTGACCACTCCAGAAAGAAACCCTGAACCGCAGCAGTCATCCCCCACCTCCCCAGCCCCTGGCAACCCCTCACTGATGCTACAGATCTACTTGTTCTGGGCAATTCATATTAACATACATGCAATCATATAATGTATCACCTTTTGTGTCTGGCATCTTTCATTTAGCATATTTTTGAGCTTCAAGCCTTCATTTCTTTTTATGGTTGAATAATACTCCATCTTAAGGAATATTCTACATATTCCAGAATATTTTGTTTATCCACGCAATCAACTGATGGACATTTGGGTTCTTTCCACTCCTTGCCATTGTTTGTTTATTGTAAGTAATATTACTTTGAATTTATGTATTCAAGTTTTGTGTGAACATGTGTTTTCAGTTCTTTTACGTATTTGCCTAGGAATGGATTTCCTGGGTGATATGGTAGTTTTATATTAAATTTTAGAAGGCCTGTCAAGCGCTTTCCACAGTGGGTTCATTGTTTTACACTCTTGGAAGAAACGATGAGGATTCCTCTTTTTCCATATCCTTGCCAACTCGTGATTTTCTCCTTTTCAGATTAAAGCCAGCCTGAGTGGGTGTGAAGCGGTATGTCCCTGTGGTGACTACTAACAATGTTGAACATCTTTTTATGTACTTGTATATGTTCTCTGGGAAAAATATCTATTCGAATTCTTTGCCCATATTTTAATTGGACTATTTATCTTTTTTAATGTTGAGTTTTAAAATGCCTTTATATGCAGGCAGATCTCATTTTATTGTTCTTTCACTTCATTGTGCTTCACAGATATTGTCATTTTTACATTTTGAAGGTAGTGGCAACCCCATGTTGTTAGATGATATTTAACATTTTTTAGCAATAAAGGTTTTTTCTGTAAACTCATTTGGCTGCACTGAGTCTTAGATGCAGCATGAGGCATCTTTAATTATGGCATGTGGGATCTATTTCCCGAACCAGGGATCAAACCCAGGTACCCTGCGTTGGGAGCTCAGAGTCTTAACCACTGGGCCACCAGGGAAGTTCCAGTAAAGTATCTTTTGATTAAGGCATATATATTATTTTTTAGACATAATGCTGTTGTACACAAACTATAATGTAAATATAGTTTTTATACGCACTATGCTGTTGTTCAGTTGCTCAGTTGCGTCTGACTCTGTGACCCCATGGACTGCAGCAGGCCAGGCTTCCTTGTCCTTCACTATCTCCTGGAGTTCACTCAAACTCATTCCCACTGAGCTGGTGATGTTATCTAACCATCTCATCCTCTGCTGCCCCCTTCTTCTTCTGCCTTTAATCTTTCCCAGCAGGAGGGTCTTTTCCAATGAGTCAACTTTTCACATAAAGTGGCCAGAGTATTGGAGCTTCAGCATCAGCCCCTCCGTTGAACATTCACACAATGAATATGATATGCACCGGGTAACCAAAGCCATAACACTTGTGTAACTCACTTTATCTCTATATTCACCTCACTGCAGTGATCTGGAAATGAACTCATAATATCCCCGGGGTCTTCTTGTAGTTTAGATACAAGATTCATACCAGATCCATGATCGCAAACATCTGCCCCGTTTTCTAGATTGTCCTTTTACTTCCTTGAGTGCTTCTTTGATATACATAGTTCTTAATTTTGATGAACTTTTGGGTAAACTTTAGTCAAAAGTCTTGGGTCAGCGTTTCTGAACTTGTTTTCAGTATCATTCCACTGAGGAAAAAATTCTAATTTAATTTGATGAGATGCATTGTTAAACAGCCTTCAGCTTTGAAGGGCCACGAGCCATTGCAAATGTGTAAGATTTCCTCCAACAATCCATTTTTCCCCTTGGGGAGAAATTTTGCTGCCTCGATTCTGGCAAGAATTTAGGCGTTAGGTCAAAGCTAGTGCCCTTCAACTGAACTAGGGTGATTTTGTGGGATGTGAGATTCTGTGGGTTCAGTGGGACTGGATCCTGTGCTTCCATGTGTGCTCAGCTAGTCCCAGTGGGCCGGTTCCTCTGGCCATATTCAGGAATAGGATAACGAGGCCGTACGGCTTTTCTGAGAAATGCCAGAGGGGACAGTAGTCCACGGAGACTCTAGAACAGCATCCTGGGCACTGCTGGATGCTGGGGAGCGACTGGACAGCCGCTGCCTCCAGTGTAGCTCCTGAGAAAATGCATGTCAATCTCTTGCCCATTTCCGTGAGCACCAGGACAATCTGGACCTCCCAGAAGCTGAAGAATCTGCTCTTTACTTAGTGAACGGGTAGAGCTGGTCTGCATTAGGGGTGTGGGGTTTCCCTAGTGAAGCAAAATATGAACCCAGGAAAATGAACTCTTCCGGAAGAATCTCAAGGTGTCCTGATGGCTTAGAGCCCTGGGAGCGTCCTCTGAAGTGTCAGAGGCCACAGAGATGGCTAGGTTGTCTACTGCGGCCAGACTGCCTGAAATCCCCAGCAGCCCCAGAGTTGCCCTGACTTCTGGAAATAAAGGGCTTCCCTGGTGGCTATAACAGTGAAGAATCTGCCTGCAATGCAGGAGACCTAGGTTTGGTCCCTGGAAAGGGAGGCCCCCCACTCCAGTGGGTAAGGAATGGCTACCCACTCCAGTATTCTTGCCTGGAGATTTCCATGGATAGAGGAGCCCAGAGAGCTACAGTCCACATGGTCTACAAAGAGTCAGAAATAGAAGTGGGTGTACATGGATCCCCACTTTGGGAGTAGACAAGATGACCTCAAACATGTGAGAATCGGGATTTCTATACCCGGTTGCCCCCTCTCCCCACTCCCAGCCCCACCACTGGGCGCAAGAAGCACCTTCTGGTGAGCTGATTCACAGGTCCTACAGAACAGAAGGGGTCCGGTTGAGAGTTGCTAGGCGACACGCCAAGATGTGACCAGATCAGAATGAATGGCTACAATGGATGTTCTGGATGACCTGTGACTTTTTATTTGCTTTTTATCTCCCATTCTGATTGTTCAGATAATTAAACGTGGCCATCCAGGCAGCCTGTCATTGAGGAGCCTGCTCTACTGAAGCAGGCATTTAGTTTCCAAGGAAGGAATAGAGACAGTAAAATTTGACTTACTGTGCAGTTAGAGCCCATGCTTCATGGCTTCTTTCCTTTCTTCTTCCTCCTCTCCTCCTCCTCATCTCCCTCATCTTCCTCCTCCTTTATCTTGTCTTCTCCATTGGACCAAATAATGTTTCATTTCCTCATTTTGAAAGTAGGTATTATCCTCCACCAGAGAAGACTGAAAGATTAATTTATCTCAAGAACCAGCGTAAATGATCTCTTGGTTAGTGTTTTCTTTGATGATAAATATCTCACTTCTGGTCCTCTTGCTCCATATTTAGAGGGAGTTGAATTTTCTTGGATAGTTTTCTGGAAGCCTTTAATTATGTAGAGGAAAGCATATGGTGAGGTGAACATGTGGAAGATATAGAAATCCATAATAAGAAAGCTTTTAAAACTGAACACATTTTAAAAATTTTTTTCATTTATTTTTATTAGTTGAAAGCTAATTACTTTACTATATTGTAGTGGTTTTTGCCATACATTGACATGAATCAGCCATGGATTTACATGTGTTCCCCATCCTGATCCCCCCTCCCACCTCCCTCCCCATCCCATCCCTCTGGGTCTTCCCAGTGCACCAGCCCTGAGCACTTGTCTCATGCATCCAACCTGGGCTGGTGGTCTGTTTCACCCTTGATAGTATACTTGTTTCAATGCTGTTCTCTCAGAACATCCCACCCTCGCCTTCTCCCACAGAGTCCAAAAGTCTGTTCTGT